CGCTATATAAATGATCATATAATAATAATATTAATAATAATAATAATAATGTTTTTGTACTGTGCGGTTGATGAAATTTTCTCTGTTATTTTTCGTAATTTTTTATAGTTTTTTGGGCGGTTTTTGAATTAAAATTTATATAATAGTTTCAAGGAAAAAAAATAGTGATTATTAATATATTAATTTGTTTTAAAATTTATGTATTTAATTGTAAAAATTAAACAAATTATTTAAACAGTTATAAGGTTAAATTACAGTACAGTTTATAGCACCTGTTTATTGTATGCGCTTAACTTGTGGAGTTAAATTACTGTCTTAAAAATTGACTTATACAATTAGTTTAGTTGAACACGATTTATTCTTAAGTGAATTTAAAAGTTGTTTTAAACATTGTATTGTTGACGTTGGTCACTTAGGGTTACGGCATTATGGGTGCCAAAGTCAAAAAAAATACCACCAAATCTACCAAAGAAAATCCAAATTTGATTCTACAAGCTATCAAGGAAAATTCAAATTTGACTCTACGATGTTTCCATTGTGATGCCTGGTTTCCCTTCCGGCTGGAGTGACTGAGGAGAATTACGACTTTATCAAAACAGTCAACAACATAAAATTTTTTGCGACGCTTTTTTGACTAAAATGCCCGTGGAGAAACAGTTTTTAAAAAAGTTTGAAAGTCACAGTTCAGAGATAAGAGAAGAAATAAAAAAATTGAATGATGTGAATAAAACAATCGTATCTGAGGTTGCTGCAATTAGAGCCACTATTGATAAAAACGAGAACAAACTTACGCAGATAGATACATCTGGTTCTAAGCTTTCTGGTGAGATCGCCAACTTAAAGTCTGAATTGGGTAGATCATTTGCCAGTGTTGTTAGTGGCGAAATGGAAAAAAGCGTTCAATCAATTAATCAAGACGTGAAAATTGTTCAGAAAAAGTTTCAGGATGTCGTGGATAATAAGGAAAGAGAATCTAATGTAATAATATTCAGATTGAAGAAGGGACCAGATGACAAAGCAAGAGTTTGCCAAATAATCGATCATTTGACTGAAAATATGCGGGGAAAAAAATATTCTGAAACTGATGAGGCTGGGCAAAAAAATGACAGCGTTATTAGACCAATTTTGATTAAATTTAATAATATTGAAGCAAAGTCACATGTTTTCAACGGCATCAGAAAAATGAAGTCACTGAACGATGATTTGGCCTGTGCTAGATCAAGCCATGATCTCAGTATCGATCAAAGAGCTGTACTTAAAAAGTTGCTCAACGAAGCCAGGGTGGCGGAGGAGGGATACAATAAAGGTTTTTTTATATCGGGTGAGAGGGGAGGTGGGAAGATGGAAAATAGTGCGGTTTCGAAAGGAGAAATAATTGATTTGGCAAATGGTAGGCGTGGTTTTATATATGGTTTAATTGGGTTGGTTAAAAATCATTTTTGTGTTTTGTGGAAAAATGGTATTGATGGTAAAATTCAAAATAAAATGGGGATTGGGTTGTTGAATGTGCGGTCAATTTCGTCTAATGTAAATGGTGTTCTTGGTTTGATATGTGATGGGCTAGATGTCTTGGTGCTCACTGAAACTTGGCATGGTACGGCTGGTAATAATTCTGTTCGGTTGGCTATGCCGCCCGGGTTTTGGTATGTTGATTATGTTAAGCAGCACGATCCAGATCATGGTGGCTTGATTGTATATTTCCGTAAAGATTTTGGTTATAAAAAGTTTGTCTTACCAATATTTGCCACGTTTGAGGCTATTGCTATTCGATTTTCAATCAATGGGTATCAGTTTATTTTGCCTGCTGTTTACAGACCTAGCTCGATGCAGATTTCTTTATTGTTTTTTGATGAACTGGTATCCGTTTGCTTTAAAACCAAACTGACAGTCAGATCATGGAGAAATGCGAATGAAAATAAGATTATTCAAACAATTGCAAATTCTCCAATATCTGGTCCATGCAAAAGTGAAAATGTTGAAAATGAATTAAAATTGTTCAATAACGAATTAAAAAGCATTGTTGACCGATGTGTGCCTCTGCGAGTGATTTACAAGAAATTTGATAGCAATGTTTATTGGTTTGATAGTGATTGCTTACGGGCCAAACCGATATTCCAGAAAGCTTGAGAGACTGTACAAAAGAAAAATTGGGTTGGTTCATTGAAAGCAAAATATAAATTATATTCAGATAAACGCACTGGGTATTGGAACAATTTGATCAGAACTTGTAGCAGCCAGAGGGGCAGGAGGCGAATTATTAATAAAATTCTATGCAATAATCGACTTATCGATTAATAAACTTATCGGATGCAAATGTCAGTCATACAGCTTGTAATTTTATGAAATTTTTTACAGATAAAGTTGCAAAAATTATTCATTCTGTTAAGTCATCAGGTGTTTCGACTTCGTTATCAGAAGATAGACAATCACCAACCGCTGCGTTTGAATCATTTCCTGAAATCACTGAGAATGATCTCTTGGTATCATGCCACTTGATATCAGGTTCACTTGATATCATGCCAACACACATTTTTAAAAAGTATTTGAAGTACTTTATTATTTTAACAAGTTTCATAAATCTTTGCTTGCGGAAGGCATTTCCAGACTATTTCAAGCATGCCACAGTTATTCCGATTCTAAGAAAAAGTAGGTTGTGATGATGGGGAGATTGGAAACTACAGACCAATTTCTAATTTGCCATTTGTCTTAAAAGTAATGGAGCGTGTTGTCATGAAGTTTCTACTAAACCACTTGACTAATAATAATCTTATGCCAAAATATCAGTCTGGATATCGTGAGTTCCATTCCACTGAAACAGCTTTGTTGTATGTTTCATCAAGTTTGTTTGCTGCAACTGAAGTTCAAATAATATCGGTGATATCATTACTTCATATGTCATCAGCATTCGATTGTGTGGATCCTGAAATACTTTTAAAGAGATTGCAGTGCAGTAATGGTGTTCTTGGAGTTGTCCATGACTGGTTCAGGTCATATCTTAAGAATCGTACACAACGGGTTGCATTTAAAAACACAGTGTCAAATGTATCATTGGTCTTATCAGGGGTGCCTCAAGGATCTGTGCTGGGACCCATCCTGTTTCTGCTTTATACATCGGATATAATAAAAATAATTAGTTCCAACGGAATCGTTTGTCATGCTTTTACGGATGACATCCAGGTGCTGATCACCAGTTCTCCAGATTCATTTGCAGACGAAGTGAACAGATTCAGCAGATGTATGTCAGATATTGGCTGTTGGATGTCAGATAATTCATTAAAGTTAAATCAATGTAAGACTCAGTTCCTCCCGGTTGGGACATGGCAACAGTTATCAAGGATGAATATCACTCAATCAAAGTAGGAGATGTAAATATATCTTTCAGTAAAACAGCTTCTAATTTGGTGGTGTTGCTGGATGATAGACTGTCCATGAAAAACCATATCAAGATGATTTCAGTTTCCAGCATTGCTCAGCTAAGAAATTTATACCGAGTTAGACATTTGCTGGATAGATCAGCATTGGAAAATCTGGTCCATGCGTTTGTATCATCACGGCTGGATTACTCAACAGTCTGTTTTATAACTTGCCTTATAGATCAATTGCCATTCTTCAGTCGGTTCTAAATAGGGCCGCAAAACTTGTAACTAGAAAATTGAACTTTAATCATGTAACGCCAATATTGAATGAACTTCACTGGTTAAAGATTGAGAAAAGAATAATTTTAAAAATTGCAGTGACTGTGTTCAAATCCATGAATGGAATGTCACCGGCTTACATCTCAGATAAATTTTCCACGAAGGCATCTGCATCATGTTTTCATCTGAGATCAGATAATATGAATATTTTGGCGGTTCCAGCTAGGCATCTACGAATAAGTGTAAGAGATATTGCAATTGAGGGTCCGACGGTTTGGAATGACCTACCGATTTCATTAAGAAGACCTGGAATTAATTTTGTGACATTTGAAAAAAAATTAAAAACATATTTATTTTCTGGTGATAAACATTAAATTTGAATATTTTAATTTATGTTGATCATCACGCACAGATATTTTGTTTGTTTCACTTTTTGATGGCGCCCTGGAAGTATTTAATTTGCGCTATATAAATATTTCTAAATAAATAAATACAAAATAAAATATATATATATATATACACACACACACATATATATATATATATATATACACATATATATATATAACTTTATCTTTTATTTGTTCAATTGGTTTATATATTATTTACTGTTTGTTTGTCTATGGTTAGAAAATAAAAAATAAAATTTGACTCTCAGATTCCAACATTATGTAGACTGTAAATATTCTATAAATTTTTCACCCAGCTAACAGAATATGAAATAACTTTCATCTTATTTGTTAACATCAAGATCCAAACATTTTTTATTTAGGATACCACATTGCTAGTTGTATATCATTTTGCAATGGAGAAATTTCAGTTGTTACCAAACAGTTTTCATTTTTTCAGGCAGACACAATTCATTTTTTTTCGTAGTTGAATCTCGAAACAAAATATATGGATCTTCAAATGTTATATTCATTATAAATCATTCTCGAAATATAGAGGTACATTTGAAGTACAAGTACAACTCACTGGGAATGAATATGATCTTATTTGGCAACATCAAGGCCCAAACATTTTTTATTTAGGATATCACATTGCTGGTTGTATATCATTTTGCAGTGGAAAAATTTCGGTTGTTACCAAAAAAATTTCATTTTTGCAGACAGACACAATTCATATTAGTTTTTTTTTGTAGTTGAATCTCGAAACAAAATATATGGATCTTCAAATGTTATACATTCTCAAAATATAGAGGTACTAGTACATTACACTAAGTACAAGTACAACTCACTGGGAATGAATATGATTTATGAAAAGAATGAAGAACATGAAATCGGAAAATAAATGGTAAAGATAAGAGGAAGATAACTTGTGATAAAGATAAATGTTTGAAAAACGAAGATGGCGATGAAAGCACACCTGTAAATAGTCTTGGTGTATGGATAAGCATTCCATGCTTCTTCTTCCACTATTAATGCTGACTTTGGTAAAATGCTGCGAAACCAACCTGCAAAATTATCAGCATTAACTTAATCATCATCATCACCGCACATCCAAAATCATCATCATCCATATAATTATCACCACCGCTTTAAATGTCATCATCACCTGGTAGATGACTTCCAATGTGGTACAACTTGTGTGTGTACTGCCCACTACCTCCTGGACCACCCTCATAAGGATCATTTACCAAAATTTCAACTCCACTCTCAGAACCACTACTCTCCACTCGACTCTTTTTCTGTTGAATAGATCGTTTCTTATTATATCATAAACGGTGGAGAGAGTAAGTTTTGTTGGTCAATATTTTAAAGCAGTGGAACATTCATACTTGCTATTTATGGCTTTACAATAAACTTTGTAATGCACTGAACTATTTTATATGCAAAATTATAATTTAATTTTGATTCAACAGAATAACTTTAGAAAGTCTCATATTAATGATCTGAATATCTTCAAAGGTTACCCCACCACAACTTATCATTCATTTCGCTTTTAAACCCAGATGATAAAAATGATAAACTAATTATTTAGCAAGATGTTGTATCAAAAACTGATCAACAATAAATATCAAATTTTAAGAGACCTGTATCATGTACAACTGAGCAATCCTATACTCCTCAACAGACATTGGAAGGCATATTCTATATTCTTTTATCAACATCTTGCAGGTTTTATTTTATATCCTGCGTAAGTAAATAAATTTATAATACAGAAAACTGGTAAAATTAAAAATCATCATTGCAGTATTAAGCAAATTTATTTTTCAATATCTTTTGATTTGATGATCATTACTTCACTATTACTTTACCAAAAAATTAATATAAATTAAATTTTTTTAAATAAAACAACACAATTGCAAAATCCATTTTATTGTCTGAGCCTGGAGACTTAGTAGATTAAATTAAAAAAGTGTTTGATTGAACTATCAATGAAAATATGTAAATAAAATATTAAAAACTTGCTGAAAAAATGTTTATGGCACCATTTATTAAAAAAAAGTTGATTTTATTTTATATAGGATATTTTATCAATCAATCATATATTTTTCTTATTATATTATGAAAACAATGGTATAGATTTTTGTAATTAATATAATAATTAATGCACCATTATTATAAAATTTATGATACAGATTACATTACGTTTCTATAAGTTTATATGTTTATATTTTAAATTAAATAATATTAAATATCAAAATATGAAATTAAGTACTAAACAATTAATAATCTATTAGCACCTCCATCAATTTATTAATTAATTAATAAACATTAATTTAATAATCTCTACTCTACATTTTCATCAACCTTCTACAAATAATTAATTAAATTAACAAGATATGATTTATGAGTTTATGATGAAAACTCATTCTTTGGTTTTTATTATGATTGTCAACACAGCATAACATAACTTCATCTCAAAGTTTAAACATTTTTTTAAGAAAAAGATTTGCTGTACACAGTTTGAAACCTCTCACCCAGTAGGTTAGTATTAGTTCATTTCATAGTTGCTTCAAATTCACACTTGACTACAAATCTATGAAATAAAATGTTTATTAAAATTTTTTAATTATAAAAACTATTTCATTTTACATTCTCATTGAAAATCGTGAAAAAAAGATTGAATCGTAAATAATTATAGAAAATTGTAAGTTGCTGGATCATAAAAGAGATCAATTAATAAATTATTTCGGTTCACATTTTTAAAAAAACTTTGACAACGATTCTGAATATACAGTGTTGATCAACCGACCTTTTTATTATGAACGATGAGATCGTGATAAAGAAAGAAGTTTCAAGTTATTAAGAAAAATTATTAATTTTAAATGTTTAACAGTTTAATAACTTAAACTTTAACTCATTAACATAGTCACAAAATATATCGTAGTTTATTAACACGAAACTACGGCCTAGAACTCACTCATTCTCCCCCCTCATTCACTCATTCACTCACTCATTTACCCACACACTCATTTATTTATTTATAATTTTAGCAAAGAGCCCATTCGTTCAAGATTTAAAAATTGCATTTTATATAATAAATATATTACTGCATATACATAAGCACAGCCATTCAGATCTATAAAAAATGCTCAAAGTTTAATATATGAAACTACAGACCTATCTCTTTAACATCGGTATCTTGCAAAGTAATTGAACCAAATGTCAAAGATAAATTAATGGATCATTTTCAAAGTAACTATCTTTTCTTTGAAAAGCAGTTTGAATTCCTCCCAGGCAGATCTATTGTTACACAACTTTTATATTTTCTTAATAATGTCACAAAAGCAATGAATCTAAGGAAGAAGTAAATGTTATATACACTGATATTAAAAAAGTCTTTGACACCATATCTCACAACAAACTGATATCAAAATTGTCAAAATTCCGTGGTTAACACAAACATTATTTAGTGGATCATAAGATTCTTGACCAAATTAAAAATTCGGGGTAAAAAGTGGAGATGCATTATCACTGCCAGCTAAAATCACTAGCGGAGTGCCTTAAGGCAGCGTGCTAGGTCCACTCCTATTTATTATAAGTCAATGATGTTGCAGATGTTTATGAAAATATTCTACTTTTTGCAGATGACACCAAACTCTTCAAACTCTATTCAGACTGAAGAAAACTGTCGCTCATTGCAGAAGACCTTAGAAGATAGATGTATGTAAATGATTCTTAAGATGTGGGTTAAAAGTAAACGCTTCTAAGTGTTTCGCATTAAAAATTAGAGGTCAAAAGCAGTTCTCAACATATGGTTTAATGAAACAAGGAGGAGTAGAGATTCACCTAATTGAAGCAGAAAAAACTATAAATTTTAGTATACTTATAAACTTTAAGCTGATTGTCATCGATTATGTTTTTTTAGTCTGCTAGAAATAGAAAAGTAAACAGAATGGTTGTTTTGCTAAAACGTAATTTCAAAAATGCACCTATAGCAGCTTTTTCGTTTTTTATGAATCTATGGTTGGGTCAATTCTGGAATATTAGAAAATACCAAATTTAACACTTAGAAAAAGTTCATTAAAAATCATCCAGAATAGCATTCCAATGCAGAGGATTAAAATACGAGGATAGTTTAAAGCTTCTAGGGTGGTCTTCTCTGGTTTACAGACGCAAAAGAGAAACATGATGTCAATTTATCAATTGCTTAATGGACTGCTAGATGTCGATATCAAACTAAACTACGGATCTACCATGACAACAAGAGGAAATGGTATAAAGTTGATAAGTGGATTTGTAGAAAAAATGTCAGAAATACTGTTTTACCAACAAAATAGTAAATGACTGAAATGGCCTACTTCAAAATATGGTCAAATCAGCCAACGTTACTAGCTTTAAGATAGCCTTAGATAAATTTTGTTATAGTGAATTTTATATCTGGAAGTAAAGATGTCAAACCAAAAGATGTAAAGTTAAACGGAACATTTTAAACCAAACATTTTAATAAATTTAATTATTTATTCTTAAAAACTGTTTACATTATGGTGCCTGCGCTGTTAATTTATTCTATTTTATATATTATAATTAATATATATAGACAATATATTATAAATTATAAATAATATATATATAGATAATTGCAAACCTTATTTTTTAATGAAATTTGTTAACAAATAACAGTCAATTAGAAATCAACCTTCCCCTAATTGTGGCGATCGGGGAGGAAATTTGATCACTTATACCCCACTTCGAACGATTTGCATTGGCTAACAGTTTGGAAACAATTAGGTATTCAAGGGTGCTAGTCATGTTTACAAGGGTGTAAATAAACTTTTGCCGAAAATTGTTTCTGCACAATGTCAGAATTTATGATGCAATGGTGTAATGTTTAAGGTGCCTGGCGTCGTTGATGTAGTGTCCGGATTCGAATGTGAAGAAATCCCTGCTTATCACAGGCAAAAGTGTGTTATGCGTTGATTTACGTGTAGAATCAGATCTTTTTATAAGAAACTGATATATAACGAAAATTTCTATATAACGAATTTTTAACGTCCGCTAGAATTTTACATGTAAAACTGTTTCTATAAAACAAAAATAATTTTTCTATAACGAACACAATGTATAAAAGTTAAAAAACAATATCCGACAACTTAAAAATAAATTGTTAAGCATAGTAAACTGCTTGTTACATTTTTTAATTATTGTTTTTCGTATTATGTTTTTTGCAATACGTTATACTTTGCTGTATACATATAATATTATGTTTTTTCTCATATTTTTTGCAATTATACAATGTATTATTACTTTTTGTTGTAAAAATAAACGGCTAAAAGGTGGTTTTTCATGAATATATTGCTTACCTTTCAGGTAATATAGAAGTTTTTCAGAACAAATTCTATATAACGAAATTTCTATATAGCGAATTTATTTCCAGGAACCATTAAGTCCGTTGTACAGGTTCGACTGCATTTACACACACTCTGTGTTTGTTGTAATAAGAATGCGCTTGCCATGGCGCTATATAAAATTACATTATTGTTATTATTATTAACAGACCCTCTAACTTGATTGGTTTTTGGTAGACGGGGACTTGACGTTGTTGGTCCGGTTTCCATTTTGCAAAATTTTGAACGAATTATAAAACTTATCGTGATGGCTCAACGGTTAAAAGCTGTTGCAGTGACTGGGTTCAAATACAAAGAGATCCCCGCCTACCATATGCAATATGTATGATGCGTGGTTTTCACGAGTACCTATTCATATAAGCTGTTTGTGTTTGTCATTGAAATCTCTGAAGCAAGCGCAAAAAAGAGAGAGTAACCTTTAACCTTTATCATTTTTGAGACATATGAGATGAGATCATGTTAACTGTTACTTCATTACGTTTTTGAAAATTTTTAAAAAAGCGCAAGCGTGGTACAAATATACATAATTATTATTAATAATATCATTTAGAAATTTGGCAGCCGTAACAATCAGTTTGACGTTAAGCTATCGACTAGCTGAAAAGGAAAATAGTGGCTTAATCTTAATGTTTATGATAATATATCTTGTTGATACAACCATTTACTTAATTTAATTAATTTGTTGTACTTATTCAAATTAGATTATATTTATTACAGTTATATTTATTTAAAAAAATCTGTAAATGCAGGATTATAATTTTGCACCTTCGTTCATAATTTTTCTGTTTTTGTATTTATGCATGTATAAACCTTCATACGTATATCATATAGTTATGCTTTACACGTTAACGAAGTGCATGCAATCAATGCGTACCTTCATGCAAGACCGTGCGTATGTCTATTTTTCTTCAACGTGTATAAACCTGGCACACGTTATTATATAGGTCGGTCATTAACTAAGTTTCGAATTAACGAATTGTATACAGTATTAACATAATTAAAATCCCGTGATTATAAAACCCTACAGTAAGTTTTTTTTGTTAGAATAAATTAGACAGTCTTAATAATTTTGTTAATAATTCCGACTCATTTAAAATAAATTTAAACATGCATGCATCGATTTTTTTAAAATTCAGTTGTAAAAGAAAAATTTTACCAACTCGAAATAAAAGTTAATTCACTTTTAGTCAAAGCATGATCAAAAAAGTAAACTTACAACTTATGAACAATTTTGCTGGCGGTGGTTTTTTAATTTTTACGATGGTCATCTGTTTTAAATATTCTCTTGGTGAGAACTGAAATTAAATAATGATCAGTTTAAAAACTTATTATGGTGTCCATAAACAGTTACGAATAAAAAGATATTTTACTATCTCGAAAGTATTATTTCACCTAGATGATCAACCTTATCAAAAAAATCATACAAAAGCACCAAATAATCTTGCTGATAAAGTTCGTATGAAACAGAATCGTAAGGAGGCCAAAAGACAAGAAAGAATAACCAACCAGCAGCTTAAATTGATAAAAAAGCAATCAGTTAGTAGAAAATTAAATTTTGATTTAAAAAGAAAATTATCTACTTATTAATTTGAATAAAAAAATTAAATTTTATTATTTTTGTCTCTATAATAGTTTTCTTTTTTTCTTCAAATATTTTTTTTCAATTTTTATAAAGTATAAAAGATAGATTAAATAATAATTATTTTTAATTATATATCTCAGTGTTTCCCAACCTTTTTTATTTTATGCTATGCCCCACCAAATTCTGAAAAAAATTCTTTAAAAATTATGAAATATATATCACAGTTTCATTGACAAAAACCAGCATCGTTTCATTGATTTACAGATCAAGTTAAAAGGAAGAATTCAATTGAAAACTGAAATAAAAATATAAATAATTGTTTAACTTCTAGTTCTAATTTTTATTTAATCGTTAAATTTAATCATTAAATTTTAAAGAGATCTCTGAACTTGAAAGAAAGGTTTTTCTCCAGAACAATTTGTAACCACCATACTGCGAAATAATCTCAAAATTGATTCCACATTAGGAAATGCTGATTGAACACAATCATTAAATATTATTTTATATAAATCCTGATGTGTCAAACTGTTACTTTCATCTGAACCATAGGCTAGACTACATTTCACGTATTCATTAAAATGTCTCACTCCTCCTATAAGACTCTAGCCTTCAGAATATGCTTGCCATAGAGCAGAGACTATTTAACAAATCTCTATAGCAATCAATTTTGTTAAAAATGAAAACGTTTCAACAGCATTATTGTACACCAAAGCTCTCTGTGTAAGATTTGCTTCCAATGCATCTTTAACTGGTACATATGTTAATGTTTTGATTCTGAACCTGTTTCTTGCCTCAGGGTTATACATAATGTCACCTTCATTATTTTTGGTATGCCTTACTCTATGTCTGCTTTTTTGTAATCAATATCAGGCAATTTTTTTGCTTTATTTTCAAATTGGTCGAACATTTTACTTGAGCTTTTGACAAAAGCCAAAAGTGAAGCACATAATTTTTTTACTTACATCTAGATCTAGACTAATTTTAGGATTGTTTATTAAATAAATAATAACTACTAACGATTTTTCACTAATATAATGACAATTTCGAATGTTTCCAACAAAATATCAATCAATCAATCTTCGTTTTGCGTCCAGAGACCCGGTTTCCCTAGGTAGGACGAAATAAATAACTAAAATAATAAACAACTTCGAACGTATCAAACAGAATAACTAATTAATAACTATAATAAAAAATTATTTTTGAATGATGACCAATTATTTTTGAATGATGACAAATTCAGCACCTGAACAAACCACTGAAGAAAAAAAACCCAACTACAAACCAACAAGCTTAAAAGAACCAAAGAATCCTAGAACCTCCACACTTATTTATAAAAAACTTTTCCATACACTTAACCTTATAAGATTATCCAAGAACCAATTCAGTCTCAAACATATTGACCATACTCGCCTTCTAGCATGCACATATAACCAATTCACCAGAGAGTCATACAATATTACACCAACATGTACACACAACCAATTCAACATTCAATCATACAATATTTTACCAGCATACGCTACACACAAATCTCACTATATCACTACTTTGATGTAAGTTGTGTATTATTACGTTGAGTTAATCAACAGCATTCATACAATATATATATATATATATATATATATATATATATATATATATATAGATACATACATGATCTTTGGAAAATGGCGGAAGGAATAATTGTCGAGGTTAAAAGCGATAAAAAATACGTAATTGACACGTTATTGTGTTATATTTGGCACGTTCGAAACCATATAAATGAAAAGGAAATGAAAACTTCTCTTTGCGAATTTTTTGAAGTTGACGACGTAAAAAAAAGTGCAAAGTTTTTGCATCATGAATCCAGCACATTATCGCTCAGCCTGCCGGAGATTTCCGAAGACGTTAACAAAAATAAAATGTGGGACGAATTTCTTAGTATATGTCGGTTAATTTTTGAAACTAAAGTCGAAGACAAATTTCCCTGTTTTCTCGCTGATGACTTGTGGAAAGTTACTAATTGTGACAATAGATTTGAGAAATTGTCAGCTGAACAGGTGAGGTTGCAAAAAAGTGTTATTCAAAATAGTTCGGCCGTTCTGGAATTTCTTGAAGAGCATGGCAATATACTGAGTGATATCCAAAAAAAGGTGAACAGTATCGTGTGCAGTGATGTATGCGCTGATGGAGATTCAGATGCTGAGACATCAGTCGCTAAAAATTTGTCTGACATTGCTGAAGAAGGTAACAATGATAATTGAAATTTTATAACAGTCAGACGCAAGAAAAGAAGAAACATTTTACTATCAACTAATACAAGTCCATGTTGTCATGCAATATCAAAGACCACTGTTGAACCTCATAGGCCTACGCAATATAAAATATCAGCTAGTAAAATTGTATATCGGAAAAAATTTTATCACATTGGTAATGTTTCAAAGACTTGTGCATCCAATGTTGTTGACCACCTTGAGTCAATTGATGTTAAAGTTTTGTCTTGCTACCCTGTATTCAAGAGGAGAGATGACAAAATAAAACTTGATGAAACCCGCCCTTCTACGTCATTCCGGTTGTGTGTAGATGAGAAGTATGCGGAAATAGTTGAATGATCAAGTTCTTGGCCTGATTATGTTCAGGTTAGGAATTGGGTTTTCAATAACAACAGCAAAAGTAGCAGCACCAGAAATGCCGATGTCAATGTCAGGACATGTTCTGACGTGAAACGATGATATGGAACTAGTGTCATGTTTTATTTGCAAACTTTAAATTTATGATTTGTTAATTTGACTTAATTTTTTTTTTCATTTACCCGCTTTTTTTTATATTATGCAAATATACATTGTATATTCGTTTAATGTACATTGTGGATAAACTGTTGACTTTTGACAATCATTTCTTTAATTAATTGTTACTGGATTTTGAGAGTGCCTGTACAAATGCATTAAATTATGTATATATATATATATATATATATATATATATATATATATATATATATATATATATATATATATATATATATATATATATATATATATATATATATATATATAAGGGTTTTGATTATAATTTAGGATTTAAACAAACAAATGTGTTGCTTCTGAAAACAAAGATTTTATTTTGTTAAATGTTAAAAAAAATCATTATTGGAGAAAAAAACTCACCTGAAAACAAAGAAACGACATTTAAAGTTTATTATTTCACAAATTATAATCAGTCACAAAATATATTTAATTAAACTTTACTTTTAGGTTTTCTTTTAACCTATCAACAAAAAACCCCAGACAAAAAATTCGCAGTGTATTATCAATCGCGCAAAGCGCGACAAAATCAAAATTAAAGAAATATAGTTTCTTTACATCTACCCTCCCAAGAAAGAAAATTCACATGAGGGATTTTCTGCCAGAATCACGCTTTTATCTATTTTTCTTCATTTGTATCCTCCTCAACTTCATCTTTTGTTATCTGTACTGGAATTAATTTTGAAATATGAAATAAGTTTGACTCTGTTTTCCTGTGTCCTATATCTATCTCATAAATGGTATCTGATTTTTTTTTTCTATTTTATATGGTCCTATTCGTAGTTCTTCTAGTTTTTTTCGATTTAATTTATTCCCATTTTCGACATAAACCATATCTCCAACTTTAAATTCTCTATTTTTTCTTTTTGCATCATAGCACATTTTGTTATAGTAGTGTGATTTCAGAGTATTATTAAGAGCTCTTTCTTTATCTCTGATCCAGTCACTGTGTATACAGTCTTCACTTAGCTCTTTGGTAAGATTGTAGCATCTGTCCCATAAAACAAATAGCATGGTGCGTAACCAGTTATTGAATGAATAGTTTGATTATATTTTTCTACACATTGATGTGCTATTGTAGTCCAAGCTTTTTTTTTTCACTTTCATTTATTTTGCATCTTATCTTGTTCACTAGTGTTTGATTTAACCTTTCATTTATGCCATTTGAAAAAGGCGCATTCACAGCTGTAAATATCATCGTTATTTGGTTTTCACTAAGAAAGTGCTTGAATTCTTTGGAATTTATTCCAGGGTATTGATCGCTGAGGAGTGTTTTAATGTTTTGTATTTCTGTGACCTTATTTATTAGTTTTATAAAATCATGTGCATTCTGGGTCTTTGATGTTATAATAAATGCGTACCTAGTGAAGAGATCTACTAGAAGGTGTAGGTATTTCTTGGTTGATCTTGAACTACCAAAACCGCCAATTGTGTCTATTGATATTATTTCAAGAGGTCTTGTGGCCGGCCCTAGATATGACATTAATCCGTATTTGTCTTGTCCTCTTGTTTTGTTCTTTATGCAAATTTCACAGCTCTTACAAACATCTTTTATATTTTTTGTTAAATTCTTTGATACATATATTGAACTAACAGTCTTTAGCATTTGTCCAATTCCAATGTGACATAAATCCTCGTGTATTCGTTTTATAAGCTTAATACTGAATTTTTCTGTTAATATTATTTTATCTTTGTTTCTTATTTTTTTGTAGTATACATTATGTTTTTCAATTATTTTGTTTTTGTTTTTTTGTATTTCTTCATTTTTATTCTGATCTATCATAATATCCTCCAACGTAATTAAATTCACTACTTTTAATTGATCTTCTATATTTTCTTCTGGTTCCAACACGGGGTTTCGGCTTAAACAATCTGCTTCTAAATTTTTTCTTCCTGGGGAATATTTGATTTTGAAGTCATACTGTGAAAGGTAATAAGTGAGGTCACCCAGCTCTTCATCTGTTCTTGCTCTCAAATTCATGTTCTCCAAAGGTTTGTGATCTGAGTAAACTGTAAATGATTTTCCTATTAACCAGTATTGCCAATGTCTCAGTGCTTCTCTGATGGCCAAACATTCTAAATATATAGCTTTTTTCTTTTTTTGTGCTTCATTAAGCTTTTTTGAAAAATAGGCTACTGGTTTTTCTTTACCATCTGTTTGTACCTGTTTCAAAATTGCACCAACGCCCTCCAATGACGCATCGGTATAGATGTTAATTGGTAGATTTTGATCATATATTTCTAGTATCGGCTGTGAACATAAGAGACTCTTTACTTTGTCAAAGGCTTGCTGACATTCTTCAGACCAAACAAATTTCTGATTTTTCCGAAGTAAGTTATGTAGAGAATCTAGTATAATTGCACTTCTTGGTATGTATTCGTGATAAAAATTTATTTTTCCTAAAAATTGTCTAACGTTCCTTTGGGTTTTAGGTATTGGGAAATTTTTTATTGAAATTAGGTTGTCCTTCATTGGTTGTATCGAATTGTTTTGAATAATATGTCCTAAGTATTTGATAGAATTTGATGCAAATGTACATTTTTTTAAATTTTAAGCGAAATCCTTCTGTTTGAATTGCTTCTAGCAACTGTTTCAAGTGTTTTATGTGTTCTTCGAAAGATTTTGAAAATACCAAGATGTCATCAATATAATTAACAGTAAATTCAGTAAGTTTATATTTTCTAAGTATATTACTCAATATTCTTTGGAATATTGCTGGTGCTGTCTTCAGACCGAACGGTAGACAAGTCCATTGGAAGTGTCCTTCTTGTGTTACAAATCCTGTCTTCTTTCTGTCTTCTACTCTAAGTGGTATAGACCAAAAAGCGGAGTTTATGTCTAGACTTGTGAAATAGTTGCAATTCCTTGTCTTTATCATTAGGTCATCAATTAACGGGAATGGTTGAGCCTGTGGTACTACAATTTTATTTAAATCTCTAAAGTCTATACATAGTCTTGACTTTTTATTTTCTTCTTTCTTAAATGCTAAAGTTATTGGTGCTGCAAATGGACTATAGGACTCCTCTATTAGCTTATTATCTAATAATTTTGATATTTGTTCTGCTATTTCTTTTTTGTCTTTTATAGTGCATCTATAAGGCCTCTTGCTGCAGTATTTATCTAATAACAAATCTATTCTTGCTTCATATCTTTTAACTGTTCCTACGTCATACTTGTCCTTGGCAAAAACTGATTTATATCGTTGTATTAGCTTATTAATCTCTTTCCTTTTTGTTTCATCTAAATGGTTTACTTTTATTTCAAATTCTTTTTCTTTAATATGTTCGTTAAAATTTATTTTATATTCCTTTTCATATTTGTTAACCTCGTTTTCTCTCTTGATTATTCTTTCTTCTTTTTTAATATTTTCTTGTTGAAAATATAGTTTTTGAGTAATTTTTAACTTTTCATTTTGTACTAACTTGTATGTTTTTATCATGTCTAATCCTATTAAAAAATCATATCTGAAATGCGCATCATTGATAATGTAAACATCTACTTTTTCTTCTATTTCGAAAATTTTAATTTTTAGCTTCGTCAAACCAAAAGTTTTTTTAACACCATTAATTGTAACTAAATTTTGTTCATTTACATTATTATTCTCGTTTTTTAATTTTAGTAATTTTGAATTAATTAGAGAAACATTCGAACCTGAATCATACACTCCATATATCTCTAATTTAGAATTTATTATGAGTTTGACTTTAATTAATGGTGTTACTATTAGTTTTTTTGTTTTGTTTCATTTAACTCTGCTTCAATCACTGAATTGTTGACATGTTTTATATATCTTCTATCAAATTTATTATTATCTCTCATTTTAAACCAACATGCAGCCTCTGGATGGTAGCGTATACCTTTATTTAACCGTTCACATATTTTGCATGCAGTACGTTCCTCAATTTTGTTATATATCTTCTGGTTTTCGTATCTCGTGTAGGTTCCATTCTTATTTTTATTCATCAAATGTTCATACTTTCTTACTTCATTGAATAAGTCTACTGTATCTTCCATTCATTGTCTATTTATCTTTTCTAGAACAAAGCCTGGCAATCCAGCTGCAATTAGATCCACTAGAGTACCTGTATCTATTGATGTTCTCATGTCCAGTAAAAGTTTTTCTTTTTTTATAGCATAATCCACCAATGAACCATCCTTGTACTTAAATAACAACGCATAAGTCACTTGGTTCCAGCCTTGATTTGCAAATGATTCACAGAATTTATTTTTCCATATAGACCACTCTGAGTTTAGTGTTAATTTTATAATCATAGAACTATACCAATCAGCGCAACTTTTGTCCATGAATAGTCTGAGTATCTCAATTTTTTTTCTCATCTTCCGTAATATCGAAACGTAAACATTCTTTTTCAAAAACATCAATCCACTGGCTTGGGTTAGTATTTTTACTTGTAAATCTTTCAATTATAAACTTTTCTGCAATATATTTCAGGTTCTGTTTTTTTAAATCTTGTGAGCTTTCAATAAATTTTGTAAATAATTTTTCCAATGAATCTGTATTTTTTCCTAAATTACCAGATGCTTGCTTTTGTTCAATCTCTTCGAGATATGATCTC